CCTTTCCTCTGGGTGCCTGTGGTGCCTGTCCTCTCTCCATGCCACTGGCGTCAGAGGGTGTCTCCTCTCTAGACAGGGCCCGGACAGAGTGTGCCAAGCTCAGCCACTGGGTGCTCAGAGAATCAGAGTCCGTTTCAGCTCAGAGAAGACTCTTCAGGGTCAGCCCTGCCCGCTGCCCCTCTACCCTTGTCCTTGCTGTCCTGCAGCCCTGACTGGATCCAGGAGGCTGAGAAAAGGCGGGCAGCTGGCTGGGGCTGGCTTGTCACAGCGGGGGGAGCGGTACCGGCCGTCATGACCACTTAATTACCGCGCGGGCTTGGGCGGGCCTTGAGCCTTCTGCGTCCGTCTGAGCCTTCACCCGGTGGGGGCGGGCCAGAAACAGACCTGGCTCCGAAGTAGTTTTACCACTTCCGGACTAACTTTGAGAGCGTGTTTCCTCCGGGAGCCTCAGTTTCTTCACCTGCGAAGCGGAGACATCACCAGACTCTTCCGGAAAGCAGGGCCGGAGCGTGCAGACCAGATGCGGCCTGGGTGAAGCTTCCTGCAGAGCGGGCCTCCCACAGGAAGGCTGGGAGAGGCAGGTCTGGGTCAAGGTCATTGTCTCGGAGCAAGCTATGGAATTTTCCAGAGGCTGGTGGGACTCAGACCCAAGCAGGGGCCCTCACGCCCCACGCTCAGACTCCCCCCCACCACCCCAAAGTCTCCCTGGCTTCCCCGGCAGAGCCCTGACCCTGGCCGCTGCCCTCCGGGTCTAGCGCAGCCTTCCCTTCCTCTGGCCCCCGCTTTCCTCCCCCCAGTGATGGGCCGGTGGCCACTCCCTGCCCTCCTGTGTGCCCTGGCGGGGTTCCAGAGCCTGCCTCCCCCGGCCTGAACAGCGCGCGCGCCCCTTCTGTCCTCCGCCACTCCGGGGACTCCAGCCTTTCCCTCCACGCCTGCGTTTTTGTTTGCTGGTTGAACCAAGGGGTGCTCTGCCCCAAGCTGCGTCCGTGGCCCTTCTGAGACAGGGTCTCGCACTCTCCCCGCTCCTGCGTCTGGCATTGCAGGTGCACCGTGGCCAGCAGCTTCTTCGGCCTCTTGAACAAACTTCGCCTCAGGGGTTGGGGGTCCTGAAGGTCAACACATCCAGAGGAAGTAACCTCCCTCCAGACTCGGGTCTCCAAGGGATCCCCACTTGCCCATCACGCCACCCTCATCCGGCCTCAGCAGGACCCACAGGTGAATCCTGCCAGGCCTGCGCCGTGGCCACGTCAGGGTGGAGCAGAGCAGCAGCCGCGGGGACCCCCCCGCCCCGCAGCGCGTCCTGGCCACACCCACCAGGCGCTCACGTGGTGGAGGCAAGTCGGGGCACAGAAGCCCCAGCCGCTGCCCACTGGCATCGCTGCCCGGCTGAGGCCCCACAGACACCCTGAGGTCTCTCCCAAGCCCTGGGCCAGTCAGGGAACAGCCCGGGCCCGGCCAGCGGGCCAGAGAAGGTGAAGGTGAGGGACACGCGAGGTGCACTGCAAGGCCTGCTCCCTCCCCTCCCCGCCGGTCCGGTCCCCGGCTCTTGTGGGGAGGGGAGACCTTGCCCGCCGCCCGCCCTTCCCCACGCTCAGTAATCCCTGTCCCTGTCCCGGGCCGGGCCGCCTGACTTTGCTCTGAGAGGCCAAGCCCCCCTAGTGACTGTGGCTGTTCCCCCTCCTCTCTGGACCGGCACTCCCCGCAGTGTCCCCCTGCAGATCGCGCAGTCAGCGATCGCCCTGTCCTCCTGTACCTGCTTCTCAGCACAGCCACGCACCAGCTGCCGCTGGACTGTCCGAGCTTCGCACAGCCCAGAGCCGCAGGGCGATCAAACCTCCGTCAGGGGCAAGAGCGGGGCGGGCGTCTCCTCCGCCCCAGCTGCTCCAGCAGCGCTCCGAATCAGGGGGACAGGACCGCCCCTTGGCGCGGTGGAACCGACAGAGGAAAGAACCCTGGGTCTTGCGTGTGCTGGTCAGATCTTTGGGGTCTTCTGCCGAGCCACATCCTTGGTGAAGCAGTTCTGTGCTCCAGGCTGCAGGTTGGAGGTGGTGTCCGGGAGACCCTCGCCTGCAGACAGCCCTTTTCCTCTGCAGCCTCTTCTTTCCTTCACTCTGAATTTCTCTGAAGCACACTGGCTTTTTTTTGGGGGGGGGGGAGGGTCTTACTATGTACCCCAGGCTGGGTAATGGGCTCAAATGACGCAGCCCGGGCAGCACGTGTGCCCACAGGCACTGAGGCGGCTCCCCGAGGTCTCGTTCCCTCGTCCCTCAACACCAGCGACCTTGCTGCTCCTCTTCCCAGCGCGCGGCTCTGTCCCACGGACCCCACAACGGCAGAGGGCGGGAGCCTGGGGCCTTTCCGGTGCAGGGGGCGCGCTGTTTCCTGCAGAGGCCCCGGGTTCTGGGTTGCTGTCCTGTTCTTCAGTTCATGGGAAAGGGGCCGGAGCACTGGCTAGTGAATCTAAGCTACTGGTAGGTGGCTGCAGATTTATACAGTTCACCTTTCCCCAAATACTTCTAGCGTCAAAAACAGAAAACCAGGTGAATCCAAAGAGTAGGGAGAGTCCCGGACGCTCAGTAAGCCGCCCGCCCACTTCCGAGCCGCACCGCTCCGGCGCTGCTACTTGGACGGCTGCTCACGGGGGCTGCTGCTTGTGGCTGGGCCACACGGGCAACTCGGGATTTGGTGCTGTGTGTGTGTGCGCGCGTGTGCATGCAGGGCTGGGTCCGCACCCCCAGCGCCAGGGCGTTTTTATTGTATAATTTGTATTTTTTGCAGTTTTGTTTTGTTTTCCATGTGCCAATGCTAAATTACCCTTGTCTCCAGCAGAGCCTGAAGAGGGCGTTCCTGGGGGTTTACTGCCCAGCACTCTTCCTTGTCCTGCTGTCCCCCTTTCCTCCTGTGTGACTCTCTGGCTGCCTGGACCCTGTATCTCACTTTTTTTTTGGAGACCGGGTCTCACTATGTAGTGCACACTGGCCTTGAACTCAGTGATCCTCCTGCCTCAGCCTCCCCAGTGCTGGGATTACAGGCGTGCACTAACTGGGATTATAGGTATGTGCCACCACACCTGGCTCACTCCCTTGTTTTGATAACTACATTATTATCAGGTTTCCCGAGAAAGGGTGCATGAATACATGCAACCCTGTAAGTCTGGAATATTTATCTTACACTAACAGTGTGGCTGAGCAGAGAACTTTAGGTTCTACGTTTTCTTCTTTTGGACATGGTACACACTTTTAATCCCAGCACTTGGAAGGCTGAGGCAGAAGGATCACCAAAAGTGAAGGAGGCCAGCCTGGGCTACATAGCAAGACCCTGTCTCAAAAAGCAAAACACCCGCCTCACCCCATAAAAGAAAAGACCCAAACATCTAATGAGCAGGGTTTACACTCAAGGATTATGATTAATTGGTCTGGGGTGAGACCCAAGCATAGTTTTGTTTTTGTTTCTGAGCTCGCTGCTTCATCACCACTAGAAAGTAAGCTCTTGTCATTGTGTCCTTTATGTCTGCAGTAGGCCTGGCACATGGTATGCGTTCACTAAATACCTGTTGAATGAATAACCAAATAAAGCACTGTTTTGTAAAAGATGATTATAAAGTAAGAACATGGTCTGGGCACAGTAGCACATGCCTGTAATTCCCAGCTACTACTCATGAGGCTGAGGCAGGATGATTGCAAGTTTGAAGCCAGGCTGGGTAATTCTGCAAGGCACTCTTCAAAGGGGGCTAGGGATACAGCTCAGCACTTCCTGGGTTTAATGTCTAGCACCCCCCAAAAAACCAAGGTGCAGGCAATCTGTTTTGTTAATGTTCTCCCTAAATATATATGAATCTAATGAGTCTGGACGGTATTTAAACTCGAGTGAATAGATCCGAGCTGCTCATTTCACCTAGCCTGTTGGGCAAAATCAAGAGCACGCTTCTCCTGAAGTGGACCCAGCTTTCCCTTTGCTTCTGCTGGGTCACCGAACTGGAATTCAACCAAGGCGCCACGCCTGGTGGCCTGGGGCCTCACACTCCTGCCCGGGCGTGGCCTAGGAGGAGCTGGGAGGCAGAGGGTGCCCGAGGTGGAGGTCGCTGGGGCGGGGCCCATAGGGCTTCACCTTGAATCACAGGGTCACAGCACAAGGTGGGCAAGCAAGGCCAAGGCCGAACACTTGTGCTGTGCCCTGCAGAGGGCGGGCGGGCGCGCGCGGGGCGCACACCTGGTCCCAGCACGGGGGAGGCTGAGGAGGTGAGGATCGGCTTGGAGCCCAGCCCGAGCGGCTCGGGAGGCCGTCTCACCAGAGATGAGGACATAGCTCGCGCGAAGGCCCTGGCTTCAGCCCCCAGTACAAGGGAGGGAGGTGGGCTGTCGGGCCTGGCGCAGTCTCGCTTCCGCCTGGGACCGGAGGAATGGCCCAGGCAGCGAGCCCGTGGGAGCCCAAAGTACAGCGGCCTTTGCCCTCAGGGGATCGACTACGTAACAGCAGGACCAGCGTCCGGGCACACGCCGTCCTGACCCTCCGCACTGCCCAGCGCGCCGAGGCTCCCGAGGCACAGCCCCCGGCGCCCGCCCGAACCACGAGGAGCCGGAGGCCGCAGCAGAGGCCAGTGCGCGGAGGCGCTGGCCGAGGAGCCGCGGGA